AAAAGAGAATGAAGGGATTAGCAGACCAGGGAAAATCAAAGAGGGTTAAGCAGTTAAAGAAAGAGAAATGAATTAAGAATTATACCTTTCTCACGGACTGGTACTCTCTTCTGCTGATATTTTTCCACTCGTTTCAGTTAGAGATTAGAAGCAAATAGTTCGACTTTTGAGGCAAGCCACCACCATGTATAAGCATGCATTAACCCTGTCTGCGGACTCATCCCAATTCATAATAACTCTACCCTTGGCATCTCATTACTTGCATGAGTCCAGAGTTCAATAAAAAAAATTTGGTAATTAACTATATACACTTTAAACAGTAGTGTTACTGCTACATTCATGTGTGCTTCGGTTTTTTTTTTTTTTTGAAATTTGCTTCCGTATATTTTTTAATACACAAATTACCCAATGCATGACAATCTGATGTTTCCTCTCTCTCTCTCTCTCTCTTAATAAGACAAGGCTGTGACATGGAAATATCAAGGTAATTACTCACTGAGACGACCCTTTTTGATAGAAAGCACTTCCCTAATGATCAAGACCCGGAAATTAATATTATAATTCAGATTGCAGAGTTGTTGCTATGCGTTTCTGAGCTGAACTTATCAGCTGTTTGATTAATGGCTTTTTCCATAGTGAAGCTGGTCTTAGCTATTCTTGACATATTTGCAAGATTCCTAATAATTTTGAATTGTGCATAACGCTCTTCAAGCCACCAGAAAAGGAAAAAAGCATTAACTGTTAACACAGCTAAACCAGGTTTTTGAACCTGATAGTAACTTATTACAATTACATATTCGCAAATGATAGAAGCTAAGCTAAAAAGCATGCATAAGCATGAACAGAAGGTGTAGAAACTACATAACAACAACAACAACTAGCTAATTAGCTCACAAGTTACGAAAGAAAATTTAGAAACATCCATGAGAAGATGACCACGGTACTGATCTTAGCCCTCATTCTTTTTATTCTTTTTTTCTTCATTTATTTAGCAGATTCTCATTTATGATGCCCTTCAACATCCATTCTTTTTCTACCAAATATTTCCCATCTTTCATTAGAGCCTCAAAGTTAAGTCCAGCTCCTCCTTTGATGTGTTTTGATCATGAGCATCTTCCTTGTCTTCATTAATTAAGGCTTCAGCATTTGGACCAGCATCATCGGTTGTAGTTGAAGCTGAGTACTCCTTGGAACCGGCGCTGTCTTCTTCAGCTTTTGCCCAAAAATCCCTTTCTTCATGGAAATACAGCTTCCACGGCATTGATTTCTTATTGGCAGGCTTCTTATAAGGATGATGATTATCGGTTTCATGATGAGAACCCTTATACGAAACCTCTCCACCCTTGACTTCAGTCCTTGCTGGACCGAAGTGGAACCCAGCAGGCATGAAAACTGGCGCTTTCAGGCGATCAAAGATAAAACCAGAAGCCAGGGGCTGCAGCAACATAGAACCATGGCTAGCCGGCACTGAGTTAATCACTGCCGGTTTTGCCAAATGGCCAAAAATTTTAGCAGATGGGACAACCGTGAGAGGCGTCAGCGATGGAAAAGTGATGGGAGGCTGCCTCATCAACGCGAGGCGTTGCTCGACATAGAGACTGTGCTCCTCATTTCTTTCCTTCTTGTGCGCATTCTGGTGGCCTCCCAAGGCATGCGTGGAAGGGAACCTCTTCGAGCAGCGGTAGCATACGAATGGACAAGTTTCTTGGGTTTCACTCAACAGCACTAGTGGTGCTGGTAAGCTAGGAATGATTGAATTGGAGCTCTGGGCGGAGTCAGCTTTGGCCTGCATAGTAAACGAAGAAGAAATTAAGCCAGATTTGTTGAGAAAAACAGAGAGGTGGCTGCTGTCAACAAATCAAACTAGGGGAGAGCTACTTATACAAGTTGTTTTGGGATCAGAGATTGGACTTGTATTTGATGTACATTAAGTGTATATACATATACATAATGTACAGTATTTGTACTTTATTATTTAATTATAAAATATTATCTCCTAACTATATAAAGATAAAAGTTTAAAAAATTAAAATAAATATTTTTAAAATTATAAATATTAATTTTCAACTTTTAAATATATTTATTCACAAAATGATAATGTTTGACTTATTAATATATAAAATTTATACACTCATAACGTGTCTAATATAAATTTTTAAATTTTTAACTGAATTAATTAATTTTTTAAAAAAAAATCATCATCATCATCATCATCATTTATATATATGAGCTTAAGCAATGAGGATTGTTGCGAGTTGCATGAAGTTGAGAAGGGAGGAGACACTTGAGGTTGATGATTGATGTTAGAATAAACCTTGGTTTGATTCAAGTCACAGACACACTCTGTTTTACATGACTTTGATAACAGGCTAGGTATGTGTGTTCCATTTTCCATCAGAGAGCATTCGTAATGAGGCTTCATTCCTGGTTTACACATAAAAAGTGGGCTTATCTCTCTCTTGACTTCTACATATGAGCAAACAAGGGTTAGCTCTTTTCATAATGCTTGAAACAATTGACTTATACCCAAAATTAAATAAAAGGGAAAAATATATATCAATTACCCAATCCTACAAATAATTAATGATGTTAAATGAATTACAAAGTGAAAATTACACTAATTACACATTTTAAATTTTTTATCTGACACTATCCATCAACTAAAATTATATTCTTGAATCTTACAAAATTTTATAACTATATCCAAGATTTACATGCACTAAAACCATGTATAGATTATTAGTTCATTGGTTTGCTTATAAGCAATTTAGATTTAATGAATAAGTAGACCTTATTAAAATATTCGAATCAAGATAAGAGATTTAAAATTTTTAAGAGTAATTTATGTACCCAATTTATTGGTCACTAATTATGTTAGAAAATTCATATTACGAATTATAATCGCGTCATATAAAAATAAAAATTTATTAGATAAATAGATTTACATAAGCACAATAATTATTTTTTTTGTTTTAATTTAAAGTTTGAAATTGAAAATTAATCCATCCGTAGTGAAGAAGAGAGAATCATTTACCATAAACCAAACTACAACGCCTTTCCTTCGTAGAGGAGTCCAAAACGAACGCAATAAATAAAGTCTTGTCTGGGAGCCAGCTTCGGAAAAATCCTTACTTTAATAATTTGCCTGGGGGACTATGTGTAACCGTCGATATTCATTAACCCATGGGGTCCACAAAGGTTGCACGTGCGGTGCGGATCAAACATGTCTTTCAGAGCTTCCCACCTACATTTTTTTTTTTTGCTTTCCAACTGAGATTGAGATAATTCAGTTCTAAGTGTTGACACAACAAATGATAATGCAAATTAACTTTTGAGACTACGGTTGACTTTCTTTCTTCTTTGGTCAAATGTAATAAAATTTGTAAGAAAGGGGCCTGTATCATATGGATTTGACGACCAAAAATGGTTTGACATGCTCTGCTCTCACCAATTTGTTAAAACTTGGGAGAAATCATACATTCAAAGTTTCATTCGGTTGCTCGCTTTAATTAGTTTAGGAGATATGAAGTTAAGATTATACGAGAAAATGGCAGCCTCTTCCTGATAATCCAAGTCGAATGAAGGAGATACAATGGTCTTAGCTTAACTTTGATTCTTAAAATTTCATGAAACTTGGATACCACCTTCCAGCAATAAAATTCTACTTTGATGAACAGACTGGTTCCAAATGCCACCCATGAAAGCCGGTTAGCCAGGGGGAGAAATCATATAACAACAAGCAGCAACCAATTAACCTTATAACATGTTTGATCATAGAAACAAAGGATATCTTTCTCAACTCAAATAATCCAGATGGGCTGCGGAGTGAATCCAGGAGAAACTGAGGGTGCAAGGGATAGAGTGCCCAGTTTATAACTAGGAAAATTTGGTGACCAGCAGCGTTCCATTTTCTCATACACCAAATGGAAATATGTACGCAGATAAGGCTAGAGATACTCACCCCACCCATATGCACAAACATAATTCAACGCACTCCTAAATCCTGAGTTTAAATCACATGACATTGCATGCCTTACAATAATGAGTACAAGATGAGAAAGACAGAAGCTGCTAAATCATCTACTTCCATTTAATAAAGAAAACCCAGTTGAATACATTGCATCCAATTCCAAAGTACAAAATGAACTTAAAGGACAAACATGCCAATATACATCCATTATGCAACACTAGCAAGAGCGTAGACTATCCCAAACACAGTTAAAAGCCAAACAGCTTATTTCACAGTTTTATGCATGCCAAATCTAAAACTTATTTTCAAAGTTCCACGACTCTGTTCATAAGTATTTCTTACTCAGAATTACCACTTTACAGTATGATGTCTTCCTACGTTGAAACTTGTAACAGTGAGTTCTACAAATTACAAAGGTCATCTTCCTTCAAGCTTCCAATAAAATCCCAAGATAAGAAGATAAAACAAACAAAGCATACAGTGAGATTTACTTCGTTAGTACATTTCCACACAAGGAGAACAAGGAAAACAAATAACATTTTCAACACTTAAGTACCAATCTCTAAGCAAGGATATACGGTGGATCTAATATAAGTTTCCTCAAATATCCCAGAATATGCAAACATGAAGGTAGGAGGGCACTCTATCTCTAAAATATTTATGCCTTACCACTTTCAGAGTTAAGATTAGCATATAATTGACCACCAGTTCATAGATTGTATAAATTGTACGAAATGTACACACCATAGTGCCGACATTTTATCCGTGAATCTTTCTATCAGAAACAGAATGAACATCCACAACAAACTTTTCACTAAAACAGTCTCAACAGATTACAAAAAGATGACAATCAAACACGGATTATTCCAATACAGGCATAACAGAGCCTAAAGGTTCTCATAGTTAAAAGTTCAATCCTATAATTAAGGCTCTACCTCTTGTATATTAAATCATTTAATCCCATCTAGAATTCACACACTGGCAACTTAATCATCATTAAAATTAACATATAATAAGATGCAGATGAAAATTTTCAAATATAAAACCCAGTTATTGTCATTAATAATCACATAAAATCCAAAACTCCAAATTCCCATTAACTAAAACATGAATCTCATTAGAGAAATAGTAGCTAAAATTAATTTCTTAAAAAACCCAAAAAATGACATACCCAGTTCCTTAAATTCCCCCCAAAGATCAACTAAAACTGAATCAATTAGTCTTGGGGTCAGGCATTGGGAACAACCCAGCACCAGCAGCTCCTCGCGGCGGCGAAAATCCCAAAAATTTCTGCAAATTAGTCCTTATACTAATCGAACACAAGAAATACAGAAACACCATCGAACAATCCGTCGAATCTTCCCCTTGTAACCCTCTATGACTCATCTTCATCACAATCCCAATCGGCTTGAAGGGCAATTTGGCCACAACTTTCCCGTCGAAAAGCGAATTCAAGAACCCAAAAACGACGATCAAAACCAGGGCCACGACAGCCCCAGATTTGAACTTGAATAGGGAAAGGTCACGGCTGGATTCTTTAAGGCTGGTTTCGACACGGTCGATTTTCTTGGTTTTGGATTTTTTGTTGGATAACTTGTTTGGGTTTTGGTCGGTCTTCATGGTTTCGAGTTTCTTGGCAGCTTTGTCAATTGAGGATTTGAGGGATTTGTAAGAATTGGTTCGGTATATTAAGAGCCAGGATATGGCTTCGCAGACTACGGCTGTGCAAAAGGAGATGGCTACCACTGTTAGGCTGTCTGAGTATTTAAACGATGATAGGAATTGAGGTGTCGCCATTTTGACTAGAAAGTGAACGAAAAGGTTTTCTCGGGAAAGTTCGTTTGGGAAGAAAACTGAGAACTTCCGATCTGAGGTTCGTTGGCAGTCAAAAAACGATTCGAATGCAGACAAGTTGCTGTCATTCTCTGTCGAAAGTTGGGCTTTGACCGTACTGCTTTAGTCACTTGCTGAAATGGCCCATTAAAATTGGGCTGGTTTGGGTTTAATAGTGGGCTAATTTGGATGCTGTAGAAATCCTGATAATTTACCGAAAACACAGCATTTGCCACCGATGGAAGAGAAGTTAATAAGGCGGCAGCATAGGTTGCCATTAAGAGGCCCAAGCTTCAGCTTCTGGGAAATAAGTGAGAAAAGTCACATGAAAGATGATCTTTCCTGACACATACAAAGAATCTAATCAAGGTGGCCACTTCTTTTGGCAAATAACCTCTCAATGCTTATTAAGACAGACAGAGACATTAATAAATCTCATGAAACGAGTAAAGACTTCATGAACTAGACTTTGAAAATGGGATATATATACAGCATTGCACCATACCTCACCACCAATAAATGGCCATAATTCTAACTTCTTGATTTTGATTCATTATTTTATTTATTTTGCCATATTACCTTCTTTTGATTGAGCAAGAATGAGATTTTTCTGTATATATACATTCATCTTGATCTGCGTATTGCAAGTGTCAGAGATTCATTAGAGAGTCGGTTTAGTTTGAGATGTTGGAACTCAAATATTGTACAAGTGAAATGAATCATAACAAATTATAAAAGAAACGGTATTACCCTTTGTTATATAAGAAACTCATCCAATAAGTAAAACAACATAGAAATTCAATTGCAGTGATGATAACTTGGACAGTATCTAATTTTGTCAAGGTAGAACGTGAACCGTCACATGAATTATTGATATCATACCATGCTCGAACACGGAAGTGAACGTTTGTCACTTGGCAAAGGGACAACGTTCAAGTATGCTGTGGCTCTTAAAATGTGAGAATGGTGGCGGGAAGCCGACAGCTGTTGAAAATTGAGATATGATCACTCAGGCATGTCCGAAAAGGACCAACTTCTTCTATCATATTAGCCCAAAATATCTGCTTCTGATTTACCAAAAAACAGAAGAGGCCACGTAGAAAATATGTTCAAAGAGCAGCTAGAAATTTCAGTTTATGAGAGGTTTTCTAAGCTTGCTAATAAACATCTAGCAGTTGTTCACGAGAGTCTATCAAACTGTATGGTTTTTTATTTTTTGGATTTTTATTCTTCTTTCTGGCAATTTGAGTTTAATGGGGTCGTTGTTTAAAGTCTCAGGCATGTGAATTGTTCTGAAAAAATTGTTTACGAGGTGAGTCTGATTTGCTGAGAATCATTAATTTGTCCTCCATTTCGGTGTATGTTGTTTCTTGCCGTTATCCGGTGGTCTTTTTGTGTCCCCTGGAAACTTTTTTGCTTCTTCCTTTCGATTTAGATTGGATTGGAATATGGAGTTCAATCATCTTCAAATTTTGGTTTGAGGTTTGTTGCTAAGCATATTGGATTGTTGGGTTTTTATGGTTTTTTTTTGTTAACTTTTTAGTTATCTTTTCGTAAAAGGAATGGAAGGTGGTGATTTGAGCAATGTGAGAACTCCATTGTTGTCAAGTGAAGGAGAAAAGCTAATCCACAATGGGCAGACGGAATATTTTAACTCAGCTGATGCTTTGAAGTGTGAATTCTTCTCCAAATTGCCTGATAAGGTTCGGTCTGGGATTGATCCTGAGGCCCCTTTTCATATTGACCTTTCTAAAACCACTGGCTTGATTGAAGGTGCCCAAGTCTCTTTCTATTACCCCCAATTCTTTTCCAGTTCTCATATGTGATATTACTTGTTGAAGAATATGAGTGAAACTCTATGCATTTTCTCTTTTATTTTTCTTTTAATACTGCTTGATAGCAACTCATACTCGATTAATATCAATGGCAATGAGAATGTCTTGTGGAGGCTATATAGTAATTATTCTTAGAAAAATATGAATTGCAAATTTGCAATGATGCATTTCCAGCTCTGGAGAAGAAGGATTTTTTGTTGAGCTAGACTTTTTATATAAGCTTTCTGTTTGTATGGTCAGTAACTGCAGACACATTTTCAGCTATTAAGCGATTGTTATCATTCCAGGTTCAGTTAAGGCAGCTCATTAGTATGATAAAACTTGATTATGAGGGCACTCTATGTAGGAGAATACGATTGAAGAATAACAAGGAATTTTGATGTTTGTCCAGAATAAAACCCAAGCCAATGATTAAACTATATCTTGCTAAATGATCAATATGTCAAAAGAAAGTCCTGTATGATGCAAATTACGAGTTTCTTTGCCCTGTAATAAGTGACTGATTAATAAACAATTGAAGTCTGGTTGATGCAATAGCAAAGACTTCTTTGCATAGGGACATATATAGCATGAGTTGGAGTCTTGAGTTCCTTCTCCTCATTGGAAACTATTTTTACTCTCTGAAACTCCTTTTCATATAGCATGTAAAGCCTTGTTATTGCTCTTACTGTTACAGAGTCAATTGCAGCTTTTTGTTGTGGCCATAGCCATTAGAAATGGAGGTTTCGGACCCAGAGTTTTGAATTCGCAGAAGAAAAACAATGTCTTATAGGGAATTTCTGCTCATTTGCTAGTATTACTGGATCAATGTGGATTAATCTTTTACTGGCAAATAATATAAATCCTAAGAATATTTTTGCTGGAACTTCGGTTGGAGGTGGTACACATGACTGAGATTTGGGTGATATTTGTCTTCTATGTTCTTCTCACTGTTTTGTTTTAAATGAACCATAGTATTGCCTAATTAAGGAAATGATTTTGAAAATTTCTTTACCCTTCCATGTAATCTAAATCTTAAAGACTTAAACTCAAGCTTTTAGAGAACAAATTATCCCCTTTCCTTTTTATGTTTCTCTCTGCTGATCCTTATTCATACATTTTACTTTTTCTGTCAGGTGAAAAAGAATACTATGAAAAACAATTTGCTACATTGAGATCTTTTGAGGAAGTTGATTCCCTAGAATTACCCCATGTCATTGATGAAGCACAAGGTGACGAAGAACAAGCCCAACATCAGAGAGCAATTAACATTTCTAATGGGGCAAATGGTTTTTTGCTTGCTCTTAAGGTGATCCACCTTTCCCTTTTTTCTTATAGAATTCTGGAAACTAAATGAGCAACCAGTGAGGTTTTCTGGATTTGGCTTAATATTTCAAATAACTTAGGGACTCTTTTACATTTAACTATGTTCTAGCCTGCAAAACATGCTTATTCATTTAATAGTTCCGGTCTGCTTACTTCTTACCATTTATTTAAAATGGGGTCATTTAGTACAGCAGAGTATTCTGTTTTGTTATATTTATAAGCAATATGACAATTCTGGCAACAAACTTGATACAAAAGGTTCCGTGTGGATTATTTTATTATCCAGTTAGGCTATTTCATTTTAGGTCTTCCACTGCCTTAGCAACTAATTTTTACGTGTTTTCCCTTAACAAGAAAGCAATTGAAGTGAATGTATGCCATGCACCTACAGATATATGCAACAGTCAAGAGTGGATCCCTAGCAATCGCTGCATCGACACTAGATTCTTTTTTAGATCTTTTGGCAGGCGGTATACTATGGTTTACACATCTGTCAATGAAAAGCATAAACATCTACAAGTATCCTATTGGAAAACTAAGGATGCAGCCTGTAGGCATTATCATCTTCGCTGCTGTCATGGCCACTCTTGGTATGTTCTTTTGCTTTATCCTTCATCACATGTACATTAACTGGGTTAATTGTTGAGGTTTCTCCCATAATTTTACGACTATATCTTCCCTGAATATGATTTAAGCAAACAAAATTGAAATGCTTTCTGGAGAATCAATTTCACTCACCTATTCTACTAATATAGTTAGTACCATAAAGTTTACCAAAATTTTATTTAGTTGCTTTACTAATCTTCAGTTGAAAAAAATAAGATAATATTTTTGAACTTTTTATGTTCATGGACCAAATCCAAGAACAAAGACACCCTACTATTACCTGCATGTAAATGCCTTGAGCCTGACTGGAACTCAACATCTGATATCTTGATATTATGCTGAATTTCTAATTAGCTTCTACATTTTGCATAATACAAATTTTACTAAAATATTAGAGGAAGAAAGAATGCCCTAACAATGACTGCATAGCCTCCTTCCAACTATCATGTACAGGCTTCCAGGTGCTGGTTGAAGCTATAGAACAATTGATCAAAGACAAACCGTCTGATAAAATGACTTCACTGCAACTGATCTGGCTATATTCAATTATGCTGACAGCTATTGCTCTCAAACTTGTCCTATGGTTTTACTGTAGAAGCTCAGGGAGCAAAATTGTCCGTGCCTATGCAAAGGTTAATGCCAATGATTAGAATGATATTTTATACCATATCTGGTAGGTTCTGATGGTTTCCTCCTTTGTATAATGATGATTGACAGGATCATTATTTTGATGTGGTAACAAATCTAGTCGGTTTGATTGCTGCTGTTCTTGGTGATAAGTTTTACTGGTGGATTGACCCTGTCGGTGCTATCATCCTTGCACTCTATACTATAACTAATTGGTCTGGAACTGTACTGGAAAATGCAGGTGGCTTTCTGGTTCTCTTTCTCCTTCTTTCACAGATACAGACACAAATGCACAACAGGATAGCTACTAATCTTCAAGTATTTAGAAGTAACAGATAGAAAATTGATCCTTATTTAAAATTTTGAACATTCCTTGGAGTATAACATTCTTGATAGTAACTCACTATCCATGATAGTACATCAGTTTATTGTTAGCAAAGATCAGTAGCTTAAATTCTCAAAAAAAGAAAAAAGGATCTGTAGCTTATTGCTGCTCATTGATATTTGATTAGATATAATTCAGGTTTCCAGAAACCTCTAGTTTTATCCTTATAAGTTTTTCTTTCCATTAATAGACAGTTGTCCACATTTTCAATATATGAACATCTGTTTTCATTTTTTCTGATTTGGGTGGGGGTTTGCTAAGTAGAAAAAGGAATGCCTTCTTGTATGTATCAGCATTTAATGTCCTGGACTCCAGACACAAGAATTTTAGCTTGCTCCTTGACATTCTTATTTAATTCAGTTGATTTTATGCCACCATTTTTTTTCTGAACTTCTGTTCATGTAGTTTCGTTGGTTGGACAATCAGCTTCTCCTGAAGTATTACAGAAACTTACATACCTTGTCCTGAGGCACCATCCTCAAATCAAAAGAGTTGATACCGTTCGAGCCTATACCTTCGGTGTCTTATTCTTTGTTGAGGTTGGTTTATAGCAAATGTTTACAGATCTTGCTTCATATATACCTCGTCAAAGAGATCAGTTCATCATGATATTGTATCTGGTTCCATCTCCTTTGTTTGACAGACAACTTTGAATTGAGTTTTGCCTTACTTATTACATGTGCAAACATATGTATGTCATTTTGTAGTTCTTAGCACTGAACAGGTTCATTTCTTAAAAACATTTTCAATATGTGCCAAGAAAAGAAACCTGAATGATATCTAAGCAAAATGTCCAGCTTAATTACTAGATTTGATTCTGTTGGTTCTCCCTTTACAAAATCAGGTTGACATTGAACTGCCTGAGTACTTGCCATTGAAAGAGGCCCATGCCATTGGAGAATCCTTGCAGATAAAGATTGAAGAACTCCCTGAAGTTGAACGAGCCTTCGTTCATCTTGATTTCGAATGTGAGCACAAGCCAGAGCACTCTGTTCTCAACAGACTCCCCAGCACTCAGCCTTGACCTTCATTTTCCCAGACCAAAATACTATGCTGTCACCGGCTAACTTGGTGAACATGACACCAAACTGTTCAGTCCAACGCATTGGGATGTATAAATTAGGAACTGCATGACTTTAGTCCGGAGAATCTGAGTTGGGAGTAGGAAATATTTAACTTTTACAAATGAATGTAGTTTTTGACATTGTGTTTCCAAAGATATAAAACAAAATTATATTTCAATACATTAATCTCAATATAAAGATTTTATGAAAATGATGAACCATTCGAATTTTTATTTAATCATCACCATTTTGAGTGTTCATAATATGGAAATCAACTAAGCTGATCAAAAAAATAAAAATTGTATTATTTTGTTCTTATTGAGAGTGATATATGTATCAAAAATCAAAATAGCTAATGAATTATTTTCTTTTTCTTCTTTTGGTCAAGAAAACAAGTTGAAACAAATGAGAAAGGGTCAATATCATCATTGTATTCTATTGGAAAGCCCAAAACTTAATGGGCTTTCCATCCTTATTTCTCTCATTTCTAAGCTGCTGGCGCTGCCCACAGTCAGCTGCTGCGCTCAAGGGGAGTCGAGGTTCGCTTCTATTTCTCCATTTTATCCTTTTTTTTCTTTTTCTTTATCTTGTGGCAATTTTGTTTGCTCCTTTTCTTCTTTTGTTTTTCCTTCCTTCCTTCCTTCCATTCTTGTCTTCAAATTATATGAACTAATAACTATTATAAAATATTACAAAACTTTAAAACAGTAATCGTTTTACCAATTTGGTTCTCTGCAAATGAAATTTTCTATCACAGCTGTGAGACTTCCATAGATTTTCTATTCTTGGTATAAGTTATGGGTATCCATTGTTTCAGCAGAATTATGGGTGCCTATTCATCTTTGTGTTTTTTTTTTTTTTGGTTCTTTTTCTCTGCTTTTAAAGTAGATTATATTAAATTTGAGAAGAAAGTTAGAATTACCCATTCCCTTAGCTTTTAACAATCTTGTTGTGTATATTAGAGATGGCTTGGGCTTTTTGGTGTATTCATGGCCTGCCAGTTGCCATTGCCAATGGAAATTGTTCTTTCCCATTCTTTTGTTCATTTTAAAGTATTGACATTGCACGGTTCTTGATGACAGCAGGGTAGTATGGTGGAAGGGAATGTTTGGTCTTATGAAGATATACTGAAGATGCATAATAATAGAATGAACAGTCAAACTCGTAAACTTTAAGGGTGTTAAGCTTTTCCTTAATTTATCTCTGTCAAGTATCGCCAAGCTATTGGTGTTTGCTCATCTTGAACCAAAATTATCTCCATAATTGAATACACTATTTAGCTTCAATGAAATCACTCCTATTACCTTGCTCTTTACTTTCTCCCTCTCCTCCTCGCATGTCCCTTCCTAGACTTCAATCACAGCCTCGACATATTGGCAGTGACAGTTCCCATCATGATAGATACCGTGCCTCTCCTCTTTGTCTTTCATTTCAATCCAGCTTTTCATGTAAGTCACTATGCAGTCATCAGTCATTCGCTGGAACTGCAAACGCTTCAAATGAGGGGGCAGTTTCAGTTATCAATATTGAAGATTTTCATGAAAAAGATTGGTCATTTCTTGATTCAGATGATTTAAATTCTGAACAAGTTAGGCAAAATATTGACCGCATTACATCCGTGGGGGAGATTGCGGAGACTTCCAGAGTACTAGTCTCGATTGGTTCTGAAGGGTTTGTGGATCATTTGGTTGAATCATCACCCAGCCAATTGTTGCTTGTAGTCCATGATTCTATTCTTATCTTAGCCGGAATTAAAGAAAAGTATGACGAGGTTAAGTGTTGGCAAGGAGAATTGATACATGTGCCAGAGAAATGGTCACCACTGGACGTTGTATTTCTCTATTTTCTGCCTGCTCTGCCGTTCAAAATTGACCAGATTTTCACATCGCTGGCAAAACGTTGTTCACCAGGTAATCCTGCTGGATATTTGGTAAAATTTAAGTCGATCTTTTGTTTTATTTCATTTTACCTTTGATTGCTGGCAAGGAACGCATGTATCACAGACTGTATGTTGCTATTACTGTCTCTGCCAAATAGGATATCTTTACCCGTTGAAATAGCTTAGTAGATACTCAACAAGGGGAGGGAACAAGAAAAAGAAAAAGGGCTTAGTAGACTTTGCATGTATTAGAATGAAAAGGTGTCGGCCATGTCTAGTCTGTTGCCCCCTCTACAATATGAGATTCTGACTGTTACTTGTACAGGTGCAAGACTGGTAATTAGCCATCCCCAAGGTAGAGCAGTGCTAGAGCAGCAAAGGAAACAGTTCCCTGACATTATAGTTGCAAACTTGCCCGATAAAACGACTTTACAGAGAGTTGCAGCTGAACATTCCTTTGAGATGACTGAATTTGTAGATGAGCCTGGATTTTATCTAGCTGTTTTGAAGTTTATTAAGGCAAACAATTAAGTTTAGATTCGTTCTTATCTCCGGCTTGAATTGTTTTGAGGTATCCAAATTGTGGTCAAGGATTGAGGATCCCAGTAATAAAATGCTAGTACCACAGCTACTTGTTGCTTATTTGGCCATATATGTTTCGATTTTATGACTGCTACTAAGTCTTTCCTTTCCCCTTTCACGTTTTTGTCAGCATATGAATCTTTGATGAAGATAATTCAGCAAAAGAAATTTCAATTCCATTGTCTGAAAGGTCATCCTTTGCCCTCTTGTCTAATCATGAATAAATCAATTACTTGGACTTCTAGAATCTATATCCTACTTGAAGACATAAACAAAATGAAAAACCCTACCATTTTGCTAGCTTCTATCATGGCAATATTCCTTGCTGCTTAAGGTTAAGAGGTGAACATATCTTCCTTTGGGAAAAGATCAGAAAACATAGATTATAGTGTTCTGCAGACAATCAACTACATTCTGATTACCAGATCTGTTGTTTAATAAACTTTTCTTATAGGAAGAACGGAAAGGGATGTCATTCCTTACAAGGAGGAAGATTTTCCTGTCAGCAGCAAATCAAGCTCAAAGTCACTTGCGACATGCAAGTCCAATTGCTCCTTGCTCAACAAATCAATATAAGCAATGGATTTATGGATGCTCAAACTCATCTCAAGCAAACCATGTTTAAGCTAAATCAGAATCTGAAGCATTCAAGAACCGAAATTGAAATGGCCACATACCCAAAGAAAATCCAAGAAAACAAAATCTCATACCAGCAAAGCTTCATTACTCGAAAAAACTGACCTCATACAGAAAAGCCCTCAAACATTATATGGCACTCTCCCAACTTTATCTTTCTCTACATTAAATAAAACAATGAGACAAATTGGTAACAATCTACTAAAGAAACTATAAGCTAAAATTGGATTTTCTTTCACAGTAAGATTATTGTATACCGAATTACAAAGTACTCTCAAACTTCAACATTACCGAGCAAGAAGGTAGGGACTAAATTGCCAAACAGTCACCCATACCTAACTACTGTATTAGAAAAACGGAAACCTTATGCCATTACTCGCTGCAAACAAATTGTACTCTTCAATAGTAGTCTCTTTTTTATTGCAAGCATGACCATTTTCAACATGATCTACTGAAAATTGAGAAGAAAGTTCTCCCACAATCTCATCTTTCAAAGGGACAGGATTAGATTTGCATCCTGTTGAAAGCGCCACAGGCCCACCAAAATGGAACAAGGAAAAGCTAGTGTTATCTGTGTGCAATTTGGCAGAGACATCATTTTGCCTACCTTCTCCATTTGCCACTTGTTCTGTTGGATGCAGCCTGCCAGGAACAACCCTCTCTGTGTTAACTTCAGTGAAAGCTTCTTTTGTTGTACCAGGCTTGGAAATCTGAGTTTGCTCCTCTGAATACAAGCCATTGACCTTTGAAACTGGCTGATAAACTGGAACAGGACCAGGATTAAACAGTGGGGTTGCTAAATGCTGCAGAGTGCCATATGGCATGCATAAACGTGAGTTCCCGTTTAAACCATAGCCAAGAGGACCAGCATAAAGATAAGGATTTGGAGGAGGAAAGGGCATTAATCCATTAGCTGGACTAGCTGGCCAAGAAACAGGATTCTGATGGTAGTAACCCATGGTTGAAGGAGCCTGATACACTGGAAATTGTATATGCTGGTTATGCACTGATGTAAACATGCCTTGATGTTGAGAACCCATAACAGCAGTGGGTTTTCCATTGTCAGAATTTTCAGCAGTTTTTGTCAGTGGATTTCCAGGAACTTTGTTCCCTCTACCATCTGGGGTATTTCCAAACAATGCCTGGCTCTCCAGAGCAACCCCTCCATTGACATCCTGTTTTTTATCCATTCCTTTCACCTGAACTTCGGAGATGCCATTTTGATGGCAGACTGAAGTATCTCTCCCCTCTGATTGTTGGCTCGCATCTTCAGAATCTGATGTTGATGAAGATTCCAAGTTTCCATGATTTGAAGAGGAAGTATTGCTATCTCCTTCACTAAGGCATGAAGAGCAGTTATCAGAATTAGAAGTGCTACTCATCATAGAATGAGAAATTCCATTCAAGGAAGGGTTTCTATTGGAACAAATTCCAACTTCCTCATATGCAGCATTCAGCGAAGAGCATTGATCCTGTTGTTCCACATGACAGTCCTCATCCATTGCAATGCTGGAGTTCCTTGATTTGTTAGCTTTGCTATGCTCATGATCAATTTCACCCAAATTTACACTAGCTTCACTGGAGCACGTTTCACCAGATGACTTAACAAAGTTATTATCAGGTCCAGCTCCTTCACTGCAAGTAGATGACCTCAAAGTAATATCTGTATCAGAGTTGCTCCGGGGGTACTTTTTCTGTGCTTCTGTGGGTTCCCAAACTTTCTTGGAATGAAGTGAATCTCGACCGGAAGGATTGGTTCCAGCAATAATTTTATTTTTCAGTTTCCCACAATCTTCACGTATGTAATCTTGTCGATTATACTTGTTACCACGATAGACTTGCTTGGACATATCCATTGCAGATTCTGACTTGCTCACAGATTTGGGCTCTCGACCTACTCTAGTTGCAGAAACATGTGGCTCAATCTTGGCTCTGTATTCATTGTGTTGGCTGCAGCTGCAAGAGTAGAAGTCATATCTGTCAACCCGGCCGTTGGAACACTGAAACTTCTCGGTATACTTAACACCACAATTCCGACCATTGGACTTTGCACTGCTTACCCTTAATTGCCTATTTAATCCATTGATGCTCCTGGAAGGAGCCTCAAAGTTTTCAATCTGATATCTTGGCTCGGGTCTATTAACAGGAGCACTTTCTGAAACAGCAGCAAACCGGCGCCGATCAGACCATTTTGGGGATGGATCAAAAGGACCATCCTTGCGAAATTTCAATCTACGACGTGAAAATTTTGATTGCTCCACTGTAAAAGAGCCATTCCCATCTTTTACTTTTGTTCCTTCTGCATCAGAACTATCAAAAGAGTGATTTTGCAAACTTGAAGTGAAATGCCCATCTAAAAACTGTTCTTCAATGTCTGGAGAACCAGGTCTAGAGACAATAATATCACCTGTGTCACTCACAGAGTCTCTGCAACTAATAGTGATATTTTCTTCAACCTCAATACTAGGTGAAGATTCTTCCTTCGAGACATCAGGAGAAACAGGAGTAATACTTGACTCAGCACATTTTTTTTCTTTCTCCCTTTCTTTTCCTTTCAGTCTCTCCTTTCTCCTGAGTTTTTTCTCTCGTTCTTTTGTTCTTTTCCTCTCCTTGCGTTCTTCTTCTTCACGTTTTTCTTTCTCTTCTTCTTCAAGAAGCTTCATCTGTAGAAATCATGTAGTGTTAGAAATATTTATCAAAAAATACAGAATAACCTCTAATAATTATCTAAAAGCAGAAAGGAAAACCTATCCTGAAGTATCACCAATTATTCAGACCTGTTTTTCCAATGTAATAATTTCCTTGCATGCAACATGAACGCGTTCTTCCAGCAGCTTTAATGCAAGACAAACAAAGATACTGTGTGCGTTCTGGCGTGCTGTTCCTTCCCTAAAAGCCTTTTCAACCTGAATTCAAAATGGACAAATCGTATATTTTAGCAATAAGGAGAACACAAACAATGGACTTGTATGTTTGCTGTTCCACAACCACAAGAAGCACTAAAATAAAGTCCAAGTTCTAGAAGTACTCAAATCTAATTCATTGTAACTCTTGTGATTCAATTATTTAAAATCTTTTAAGACTCAGTTAATCACACGTATAAGAAAACCTTTTCTTTGAATTTTTCCAGATATAATACCAATCATCTATATCAAAACAAAGGACTAAAATATGTAGCCTTAAATTTGAACTCATTAGCCTTGATTGCAGATGACCTCACTTAAATTATAGGTCCCATATCTTTTCTCCCAGCATTTCACTCTGAAACTTGGATTGACTCACTCTTCGTCACCAGGCAACCACTGGTGTTCTTTATAAATTACCGCCAGAAAACATCTTCATTTTAGCCAGTACAAAATGCGCTACTGCCTCTGTATTAACATGAATCTGAGTTAAGGAAATGAAGTTAAGCACCTCTGCGGAATTTGTTTGACAATTTCAAAACAACTAAATGGCAGGTGTACAGTTGCCTCCAAACAGATACTTAACAGGATGGAAGTTAGCAAGGTTGGCCTCATACTTGTCTCAAGAAATATTTTTCCCCATTTCTAGGTCATGTATCATTGCTTACATAGAAAACCAATTACTTTTCCTCCCTCCAGCCAAGTATCTACAGTATTATGAACATCCGATGGAAATCTTTTTCAAAGTTATTATAATCTTCCCAACTTTATGTATCACTCATATGGGTGTTTCCTGGTTATCAAGTTCAAAACTTAAGTTCAATTCTTCTCAAAGTTTAACCCAAGACAAATTTTCATTAATCGTTAGTCCTGCTTCTCTAAAGCACAACATTAAACAACAAAAACCATTTTAATATAAACAGAGATTCTGTCAAAAATAATGAAATTTTCTACACTTATAACTCACCTGCTGCTAATTAGCACATCAAGTCATTAATATACAACTGTTTTTTGTTACCTCCCTACTGATCCCATTCTTCTACACACACAAGGGTTTTAATTATTGAACGGAAATAATAGAATCCCACAGATGATTTTTTTTTAACTAAACAATCGAAAAAAAATGGCACGCATGTTGCAAGACTATAAAGCACAACAAGGTTGAAAAGATTTGAAGATACCTGTTCTTTAAAAATAACAGTTGCTGCATCAAGAAGAAACTCTCGAGCAAGTTCAGGACTCTTCGCATGCTTTTGGGGACGGGAGCATTCTCCATCGAGCTCATTTCCATCCTTGTCCATGGAATCATCATCCTGAAAAGATGAGCTAAAAGTTCAACATCACTATTATCCAAACAACTTCGTTTATAAGCCTCACAAAGTTTGAACTACCTCCTCTTCCTCAGCCTCTTCAGCATGCTCAAAAAACCTTCTGATACTTTCCCCCCTTGTGATTGTAACATAACCATCTCCAACTACAAGCCTGCAATGCACACATTGTTGGCCCTTTAATGCATGGGCTTTTACAGA